AAAGGAATGAATGAATGAACAGAACGTGGTATAAGCATACAGTGGATGATTATTCACGCATAAAAAGGAATGAACGAACGAACAGAATGTGGTATAAGCATACAGTGGATGATTATTCACGCATAGAAAGGAATGAAATACTGATACAACACACTACAATGTGGATGAACCTGAGAGAAGCCTGACGCAAAAGATTACATAGTGTATAACTCCCTTTATATGAAATGTCCAGAATAGGTAAATCCACAGAGACAGAAAACAGATCGGTGGTTGCCAGGGGCTGGGGGAAAGGAGGGATGGGAAGTAAGTAACTGTCTAATGAGTACAGGGTCTCCTTTGGGAGCAATGGCAAGGTTTTGGAACTTGTTAAGAACTTAGGAATATACTGTCACTAAACTGTACACTTCAAAACGATTAATTTTGTTATGTGAATTTCACCTCAATTAAAAAAAAATCTCTATGGTCGCGGTTTCTAAAGGCAGCATATTGCCTTCACTGAGTTTTACAAAATACATATTGTATGATTTCATTCATATAAAATTGTTCAAAAGATAAAACTAATCTATTGTATGGAGTCCCAGTGGCACAGTGGTTAAGAACTCAGCTGCTAACCAAAAGGTTGGCAATTTGAATCCACCTGGGCTCCTTGGAAACCCTATGGGGCAGTTCTACTCTCTCATACAGGGTCGCTATGAGTTGGAATTGACTCAATGGCAACGGGTTTTCTTTTTTTTGTAATCTATAGTAACAGAAAGCTACGTTCGATGATTGTCTGGGGCCAGGGATGGGGAGACTGACTACGAAGAAGCACAAGGAAACTTTTTTTTTTTTTTAATTTTGTGTATTTTTTTGTTGAGGATATACACAGCAAAACGTACACCAATTCAACAGTTTCTTCACGCACCATTTAGTGACAGTGATTACATTCTTTGAGTTGTCCAACCATTCTCACCCTCCTTTTCTGAGTTCTTTTTCCCCTCTTAACATAAATTTACTGCCCCCTAAGTTTCCTATGTAAACGTTCAAGTTGCTGCTGTCAGTCTGATCCCGTATAAACAGTTCTTAAAAGAGCATAATGCTCAAGGTGGACATTTTTCACTAGTTAAGTTAAACGAGGAAACGCTGAGGTGACGGGAATATTCTACATCTTGACTGTGATAGTAGTGACATGGGTGTATACATCTGTTGCAACCTACTAAACTGTATACATAAAATAGGTGTATTTTATTATGTGTCAATTATACCCCAATCGAGTTGTTTTTATAAAGCTGAATCCTAAGGACTCTTCAAAGGCCAGCACTGGCATTTCATGTTAATCTACACCCCTGGTAGGACTGGAAAATGCTATGTATCGATTATTATACAAAACAACAAAACCATGTCTGCCAAACGGTCTAAACACTAACATAACGAATAAACATGGTTGCTTACCAATTCTGGAAGAGGACAAATAGCTCCAGTATTCATATACAACCCTTCCGCTACAATGAAACGTCGAGTTACACGAGCCTTGCGAGGATTCTTTAAAAGAAAAACAAACCCAGACATCTTAAATGTCAGTAACTCAAACACAAAGCCTGCTACCTGTTCCTTCACACTTTAACCATATAAGATTTATTAGTCAAAAACATACATCATCTACATGAATTTAAAAATCAAGGTTTGGCATTCTGTTACTTTGAGATTAAGACAGCGCTCCTTCTCTCAGACACGTTTTTCAGTCCATGGAATCAATGAGGTGATCACCCACAAACAAAAACTATTCAGGCCTCTCAGAGGATTCAGACACAGACAGACAAACCCTCCAACCCCAGAATGATGGGGAAGGGGCCCGAGGGGACTTCCTGGGGAGCTGGGAATGTTTTATATACTGACAGGAGTCATGATACCTGGTATCATACACGTATAATCCTTGGTCACAATTGTATGGCTAATATTTGTGCATTTGAGTGTCTATACATTTTAGCTCAAGTACAAAGAACTGCAATGATAACAACAATCACAGAGGTGGGGCGAGCAGCAGGCGGAGGTCTAGATGCCCCAAGAACGGCAGAACGCTGTGATAACCAGCAGTTAAAGCTAGGAGAAGGGTATGCGGCACTTCATTACAGGTTGTGTTTTCTCTGTGTATGCTGGGACTTTTCCATAACGAAAAGTTGAAAACCAGACAGACCCTGCTCTCCCTCATCTACCAAAACACAAAGGAAACCCTCTTCCTTCCTTCCTCCCCACCAATCTATCGTTGGGTGTCTTTTAATCTGGGCAAATAAAACTCTATCATGACCTGGTCCAGGGATGTTCAAAGGTGGTGGGTGTGGCAGGGGCGTTTGCAAATGACACACACCTTCCCTGCCCCACTGAAGGCACATCACTAATAAATCACGCACACTTAGAGAACTGGTAGATGCCTCAGGCGTGCTGGGCTGAAAAAACACTGAGAGTCACAGACACATGGTAGTCACAGTTAGCGGACCATGACCTCCCTACTCAAGGGTTTCTGGCCTCTAGACTTCTGCTATAATGAACAGTTAGGAACTCAAACAGGAGATCAATGTTCTAAGGGGTGTTTTAGAACCACGGTGCTGAAAAAAAGTGTGTTTGCTGACACTTGCAAAAGCAGGCATCACTGAGTCTGGTCGATTATCTCACTCTCGGTCGTTAACTCAAAAACAACAACAAAAACAACGCTGCAGAGCTGGCGATACAGATCTGTTAGGAGCCACTGATGAAGACAGTGCCACCTTCCGCTCAACACGGTGGGCATCCCGGCTCGCCCTGCCTTTCTTTAAATAAAACACTTTTCTTGTTATTTCAACACTGAACTTGAAAGACTCAATGTGGAAACCTTGGGAAATGGAAAAGAATTAAAAAAAAATTTTTTTTAATTAGCTACAGACATCATGCTTGGTAAAGTGGAAGGTCAGCAAAAAAGAAGACGACCCTCAACGAGACGGACCGACACAGTGGCTGCAACGAAGGGCTCATGTGTAACGACTGTGCGGATGGCGCAGGACTGGGCAGTGTTTTGTTCTGTTGTGCGTGGGGTCGCTATGAGTCAGAACCAACTTGATGGCACCTAACAACAACAGAACAGTCACACCAAAAATAACCTCTGCTGCTATCAAATCTATTCTGACTCATGACAACTCCGTGTATTACACTAAACCCCCCCAAAGGAAACCTGTTGCTGTCAGTTGATTCCGACTCCTAATGACCCTACAGGACCGAGCAGAACTGCCCCATAGGGTTTCCAAGGCTGTGACTCTTTACGGAAGCAGACTGCCACATCTTTCTCCCGCAGAGCGGCTGGTGGGTTTGAACTGCCGACCTTTCAGTAAGCAGCCGTGAGCTTTAACCACCGCGCCACCAGGACACCTGGTGTTACACCACACAGTGATATTTTTTGTCTTTCTTCTATATACAAATATTTATAAACTAAAAAGAAAGAAAGAATGCTGTCATTTAGTCAGCTCTGACTCCTGGGGACTCCATGTGTGTCAGCACTGTGCCCACAGGGTTTTCAATGGCCTTTCTTCCAAGGCGCCTCTGGGTGGACTCAAACCTCCAACCTTTCGGATAGGAGCTGAGCATGGTAGCCATCTGCAACACCCAGGGATTCCATCCATAAATTAATTGGTTCAAAATCAGGATTTTACTGTAAATAGCTTTAAAATCCAACTGTTTTGATCGTTCAAACAGTACTGTTTATAATTTTTTTCTAAATTTATTTTGCTGTCGCTGAGAATATACACAGTGAAACATACATCAATTCAACAGTTTCTACATGTACAATTTAGTGACACTGACTACATTCTTTGAGTTGTGCAACCATTCTCACGCTCCTTTTCTGAGTTGTTCGTCCCTCATTAACATGAACTCACTGCCCCCTAAGGTTCCTATCTAATCTTTCAAGTTGCTGTTGTCACTTTGATCCCATACAGATAGCTCTTAAAAGAGCGTAATGCTCACAACAGACCTTTTTCTACTAGAACTGGGATGTCTCATGAAACCATGACCCCTAGCCTTCCAAACCAAGGAACCAAATCCCATGAGGTGCCTGGTTGTACATAAATAGCCTCAGTGGCTACTCTTTTTTTTTTTTTTGTCATCATAAATATACCTATCACACAACTTTTACCAATTCGACTTAAAAAAAAAACTATGTTGTATCTTCACATTACTTAATATTATTGACACCATGATTTTAATGGAGATGTAATATTCTAGCTTGTGGATATACCGTAAATTGTTTATTCCCTTCATGTTGGACTCAGGTCGTTTCTCTCATTTTGTTTTTTTAGATCACGCTGTGATCACCCTCCCACCTTGGACGTCACGTCTGATTATCTCCTAGCGCCTGACCATTCAAGGACTGGCGTGTATCTGCCCGTCCACCCTCTGGAGAGGCCGTGCCAACCTGAGCTCTTGGCAGGGCTCCCGGGCTGCTCTGCGTCTCACGGCACGTGTGCTGTCACTGACGGTCAGTAAACGCGCTCCCTAATCTGACGGCCTCCCTTCCGCGCTCCGCGGGGAGGCCAGGCTACTTCTTCACGTGTTTCATTTCACCGTGTGATTTCTATTTTTCTTCCAGTCTCTGTTCCTATCAGTTGCCCAGTTTTTATGGGGATCTCAGTTATCCTGCATGTTTGAATACATTCTTCATATATTAAGAATATTAAATGTTGCAAATATTCCTCTTCTCCCTCTTAGAAGAATTAATGTGCAACAAGGAAACCGCGTATGGAAAGATGGAGAAACGTCTATGACTCACAACACCTGGGGAGCTGCAAAGAGAGTTCAATCCAACCTGGACTAAACTCGAGTATTTTAATTCACCTGTAAAATAAAGGTAAGTGTCCAAGTGGAAAACATTCTGCAAGTAACGATCAGACTTCTTATTTATGTGAAAAAGAAGTGGAAAAAGAGTATTCCTAAAAATTAAAATGCAAAGTTATTTAGAAAGCCAGCTATTGGCAGTAAAATAAGGTACAAATTAATTAGTGAAAAAGTAAAAACTACAAAGTAGGAATACATTTCAAGACATTTTATTCCTTATTGTAATGCATAAAAAGTTCCATGGACTGTCATCTTGTCAAACACACACACACACACACACACACACACACACAAAACTTGAATGTGATGTTTTCCAAATTTATATAATACTAACTTGGCAATATAAACTTTAAAGCAGACTTGTTCATCAACTGTACTTTACAAGGCAGTAGCTGTCAATCTGCCAGCTAGCATCTGGTCAGTTAATTAGACTAAGGGATATCTTTTTATAATTTGCAGACAAAAATTAGTGGAACGATCTCAGTTTTTTAGGTTTCCCTAGAGATTTTTCTAAACAGTTTAACTATAAAGACATTTGCCTATCTCAGAACCTAGTATGAAACGGTGAGTCTACGTATAGTCATCTCAGAGTGTGAATATTCATGAAGAGCATTTAGGCTGACACCTAAAAATAGAGTCCTAAATGAAAACATGCAAATCTTTGGGAAAATGGAAGTGAATACAAAAGTAAGGGATGGGATAAGCATTTTTACCAGCTATCCTAGTTACGAATGAGCTGCCTCGGAAAAGCCCACTCAAGCGTGGTGTCTGAGACAAGGATGCGGGTGATCAGGTTCCCAGCGAGGTCCACGAAGAATGGAGCCTGCTGCTGAACCATGCACAGTTTACTACTACTTTTTCAACCATGTTGGCCGGGGAAATCGAATTAGAATTCTAACTGGTGATGCTCTGAACACATTTCCTGTGTTACTCTCTCTAATCCGAACACCGAAGAACTCGTTCCAAATCACCCCCACCAGGGGCTACACAGGCTCTTGGGAAGGAGGAAGTGAAAACAGGGCTGCAAGATGTAAGGAGACCATGTCCCAGGCAGCAGCTTCCCATGGTATCACCTGCTCAGAGCTCCAGGGTGGAGGTGGGGGTGCTAAGAAGAACATTACTTTGTTCATAAATTCATAAAGGAAGACCTGGCTCCATTGTTTCTCCCAGTGATATGAATACATCTATTTTGGCTTCAATAGGTACATCTCTTTAAAGCCCTAATGAGCGCTGTTACTACCGTATTTTTATGAAAATGACACGCATCTTCTAAGCCTGTTTGCCAACTGTGCTCTCTGCCTGTGAGGTATTTTCATAAGCACTTGCTAGGCCAATTTTTCTTACATGTTGCTGTAGTAAAACTAGTATGGCGTGCTTACGAACATATCTCATGGGGGGAGGGCATGGTTGGCAAACAAATGTAGAAGGCATGCATTATTTGCATAAAAATATGGTTATTACTAAATAGTTGACAGTATACATCTCCCCCACTCCCCAAGTACACGCTATTTTTCCCTTTCTCTTTTAAAAAGCTGCCTGCATTATCTTCCCCCAAATTTGCCGTATGCAGTTATGACAATGACAAGGCAATTACAATCAGACTTGGCTCCCCAACACTAAGTATATTTAATAAGCAGGAACGCCCTTATTTAATATCAACGTGTGATCTGCAGGCAAGTTTTCATGACAAATTACCATCTCATATATAGTTTAGTTGCTTAGAAAGTACAGAAGAACAGTATAGTTTTCCTCCAAAGAATCATACCTTTTGATCTTCAATCTCTTGTTCTTTCAGCAGTCGCTCCAGGTCAGCCATGTCATTATGTTTAAATAACTTAATGTCGCTACGTGAGGCCTGTAATCCTTTCTGAATAGCAAAGCAGGCAGCTTTATCTCTGCAAGGAAGAGAGACCCACCAAACTGGAGTTTACATGGCCTTGTAAAACTCCTCAGAAAAGGAATGCTGGCTTCTTGAAGTTGACTGATCTCCAAGTTAGTTACCTTGGACATATATAAAAATAAACATGTTTGAACATTTACACATCATCGTTCGCACTGCATTCTGCAAGTCCTTTTCACGTAACTATCCTATTTAATCTATTCCAAGGAGCGTATTTTTACCTGTGAAATCAGCATGCATCTTACCAACGATGGCATGTCAGTTAAACTCACAGCTCTTTTCTCTTTCAGAACCATACGGAAAACTCTGGTGCTTCTCACCATTAGCAGCACCTTGGATGTGACAGCCACGTTACCCTGACACTGCTCTTCCACGAGAAGCAATCCTAAATCACTGATTCCACGCAACCCAGGGGAGAAATTTGGGTCTTGAAGATTAAACTTCAGTAAGATCTTCTCCATTGGGTTAACTAGGGGGATTTTTTTTTAAGTTAAAGTGTGTTGTTTAAAAGTGTATGCAGGAGACTTAAAAGGTGGAGTAGATACACTTTTCCCTATTCCTCCTACTTGGTACAACTAAAAACCTTTGACGCTGTACATAAAACAACCATGGGAAGACGCTGAAAGGTGGAGAGAAGGCAGACTGTGTAGTGTCGAGGGACCTCGGGACATGAGAAACCAGATGAAGACGAGTTCCCACGATGTTCTTTTTGCCTCAGACTTGGAGCTGATGGTACTGGCTGTCATGGACTAAACTGTGCCCCCGAAATATCTGTCCACTTGGCTAGGTCATGATTCCCAGTGTTGTATGACTGTCTACCATTCTGTCATCTGATGTGATCTCCTTATGTGTTGTAAACTCTGTCACTACGATGTGATAAGACGGACTAGCAGCAGTTATACTGATGAGGTCTGATGTGACGTC